CAATGGGTTGGGGTTGAAGGGACCTTAAAGCTGCTCCAGTTCCAACCCCTGCCGCATTGAGCTTCTCCTTACCCGACACCCCAAGTACTTCTCCCCAGGTTTCATCACTGCTTTCCGCCTGGTAACCAGTGACACGGCCTCCATGGGGGAGGGAGGCACCATTCACACCAATTTTCCTTTTTCTAGTGACACCCACTATTCCCACAGGCAAAGATCAGCTTCCTAGTGATGCTCCCACTGGGATGGCCAGAGTCGAAACCGGTCCTAAAGGGGTTTGCCCCTTCGGTGTGCACACAAAGTAATCCCAGCCCACTTACGTGCTGCATTCTGGCTTGAAGAAAGAAATAACGGGTGCTTTTTCGCGTGGAAGCAAGCTGTTACAGTGGGTTTGAGGGAAAACGGGGTTATGCCCAAATGCATTTACTAGCGCAGGGGTCTCTAATAATTTAAGAGAGTTAATTACAAGCGCTAACGACATTGCTTCAATTACACGTAGGCGAAGCTATCCGCCCCGCACCACAACCGCGAAGCGGCCACCAGCAGCAACAACGCCGCCGCTGAAACCGATATCAGGCGGGAACGGACGCGGCCGAATCAACGCGGAGGTCTCAATCAGGTCCGACCTTCCCTGCAAGCACCACACTCCGGTGGCGCCGCAGGCTTCAATCAGGTCCGACCCTGCCTCTCTTCGCCTTCGAACAGTGCCGCATGGTCCTAAAGCCCGACCGCAGGACGTCAAAGCCCGCAACGGGTTGGGGTGAAGGGAATTTAGAGCTCCAGCTCCAACCCCTGCCACGGGCAGGGACCCCTTCCACTGGAGCAGCTTGCTCCAAGCCCCTGTGTCCAACCTGGCCTTGAACACTGCCGGGGATGGGGCAGCCACAGCTTCTCTGGGCACCCTGTGCCATTTCCCCTTTCTTAATGACACCCAGGAGTATCCCAGAAAGCAAAAAGCAGCTTCCCAGTGATGCTCCCATTGGGATGGCTGGGGTCGAAACCGGTCCCGAAAAGGTTTGACCCATGGGTGCACACAAAGTAACCCAAAGAGATCTACAGGCAGCACTCTGGGTTGGAGAAAGAAATAACGAGGGTTTTTCAGGGTGGAAAGCAGGGTTCTATAGCGGGTTTGAGGAAAAAGTGGCTATTCCCAAACGCCTTTACTAGGCCGGGGAACTTTAATAATTACAAGGAATTAATTGCAGGGAGGAGAATTACCTGCCGCATACGCAAGCCCTGATCCCTCTACAAGCAGCAGCACCCCACTAAAGGGTGGGACCGGGCGCGGTCAAATAAACGCGGGGGTCTCAATCAGGTCCGACCTTCCCTGCAAGCACCACACTCCGATGGAGACGCAGGCTTCAATCAGGTCCGACCCCGCCGCGCTTTGCCTTCGAACGGCGTCCTGGGTCCTAAAGCCCGACCGCAGGACGTCGAAGCCCGCAATGGGTTGGGGTGAAGGGACCTTAAAGCTCATTAAGTCCCAACCCCTGCCACGGGCAGGGACCCCTTCCACTGGAGCAGCTTGCTCCAAGCCCCTGTGGCCAACCTGGCCTTGAACACTGCCAGGGATGGGGCAGCCACAGCTTCTCTGGGCACCCTGGGATGCTCTTGGGATGCAGCCCAGGACATGGGTGGTTCCAGATTCCATCACATTGAGCTTCTCCTCACCGGACACCAAGTCCTTCTCCCCAGGTCTCATCACTGCTTTCTGCCTGGTAACAAGTGACACAGCCTCCATGGGGGAGGGAGGAACCTTCTGGAAACCCCCTATGCACCACTCACACCCATTTCCCCTTCCTAGTGACACCCAGGTGTATCTCGGAATGCAAAGAGCAGCTTCCCAGCGATGCTCCCATTGGAATGGGTGGAGCTGAAACAGGTCCCTAAAGGGTTTGGCGAATGGGTGGACATAGAGTAACCCAAACCCATCTGTGGGCAGCACTTGGGGCTGGAGAAAGATATAACGGGGTGTTTTTTTGCTGTGGAAAGCAGGGGTTTATGGCGTGTTTGAAGGAAAAGGAGTTTTTCCCCACAGGCATTTACTTGGGCGGCGGGGGGGTAAGGATAGCAGATTAATTACAGGCGCTAATTACAGCGGTTTAACTACATGGGGGCAGAGCGACCTCGCACACACTAAAACCTAAAGCAAAACCAACCCCGTCGCACCCACAGCTATCTCCGCCTCCCTCCTTATAAAGGGGGTATCGGAAGCAGCCGAATCAACGCGGGGGTCTCAATCAGGTCCGACCTTCCCTGCACTCCCCGGACTCCGGTGCCGAGCGGGCTTCAATCAGGTCCGACCCTGCCTCGCTTCGCCTTCGCCCAGCGCCGCTGGGTCCTAAAGCCCGACCTCAGGACGTCGAATCCAGCCATGGATTGGGGTGAAGGGGCCTTAAAAAGCTCCTCCAGTTCCAACCCCTTCCACTGGACCAGGTTGCTCCAACCTGGCCTTGAAGGGAGGGAGCATCCAAACCCTCTCCTTGCAACCCGTTCCAATGTCCCAACAGCCTCATAGTGAAGAACTTCCCGGTATCCCTCTACGTCTTTCTTCGGGTGCGAGGAAGCCACCCAGGAGCCCCACGTCCCATCATGGGGTTCTTTAGAAAAGAAGCTGCTGGACCCCCAAGCTTCACCCAAGAGCTGGGGGTAGGTTCCTGCCCCATAGATCAACCCCGAGAGTGGCCTCGTGGTGGGATCAACCCCAACCCACTTTATTGCAGTTACCAGGCAGCACAGGAGAGGAGCAAAGAGGAGGGTGAAGGGGGGCGGGTGCCATGGGGAGCTGTGGGGCAGGGCACCCCTCGTCTCCACTTGGGGGTCTGCAAGGGGAAAGGGGTGTGGAGGGGCCAGGTTTGGGGTGCTGGGGGTTCACAAGACCCCCCTGTGGTTGTGGGCGTTGTTCATCTTCATGGCCTTGATGATGAGGATGGTGCCCACCACAATGCCCACGATGCCCACGGCCAAGCCCAGGGCGCACACCACGGTCTGGGTGGTCTCAGAGGCAGCGGGGGGCACCTTGGGTTCTGCAAAAGGGGGAAGGGGGAGAGAAAAGAGTTGAGTATCCCCCCCCTCCAACCACCCTCTTCCTCATCCTCGTCCTGCTTCCTCTTCCTCACCTTCCTCTTTCTCACCCCCACATCCATCCTTCCTCTTCCTCACCTTCCTCTTCCTCACCTCCCTATCCCACATTCCTCTTCTTCATCCCTATCCCACCTTCCTCTTCATCACCTTCCTCTTCTTCACCCCTCTGTCCAACCTTCCTCATCCCAATCCCACCTTTTTCTTCTTCACCTTCCTCTTCCTCACCCCCATCCCCCCTTCCTCCCCTTCTCCCCCTTCCTCTTCCTCTTCCCCTTCCCACCCTCCCTCTTCCTCACCCCACTCCTTCTGGAACTCTTCGGGGATCTCCTTGTGCCGCACGCGGCACACGTAGAGGTCCCCGCGCTGGGGCACGAAGGTCAGGTAGGAGAAGAGCCTGTAGGTGTTGTCCTCCCGCGGGTAGAACACGCTCCTGTAGATGCCGTCGCTCACGGCCTGCCCGTTCCGCTCCCACGCCACCGTCAGCACCGGCGGCCACAGCCTGTCCACGGCGCACACCAGCACGTTGGGCTCCTCCAGCTGCACGCGGTACTTGGGGAACACCGACACCTCCGGCGGCACTGGGAGGGGAGGGGGGACAATGGGGTTGGGGCCCTCCTTCCACAGCTCCGCGCGGGAACGATGGAGGCCTCCCAAAGGGAAGGGGGACGGCTCTTACCGATGGTGGCCCGGGACTTGTTGCTGTGGGCAATGGAGATCTCCAGGTTCTGCTTGCCGATGGCCATGTTCTGCAGAGCTCCCTGGGCCTTGAAGGAGGCGAACTTCCCGAACTCCTCCAGGCGCCACACGGTCTCCTTGTAGTCGTGATCCACGTGGAGTATCTCGTCCCCGTCGAAGTCGAACATGAACTCGCTGTCCTGCTGCTCCTTGCTCTCGTCCCGCTGGTAGAACTCCGACTGCATGACCGTGTGCCCCACTGCGAATGGGAAGGGGGCACGGAGCATCCTCAGGGAGCATCCCCATGGGGCATCCTCATGGAGCATCCTCAAGGAGCATCCCTATAGAGCATCTTCAGGGAGCATCCCCTGGAGCATCCCCAAGGAGCATCCCCATGGAGCACCCTCAAGGAGCATCCCCATGGGGCATCCTCATGGAGCATCCTCAAGGAGCATCCCTATAGAGCATCTTCAGGGAGCATCCCCTGGAGCATCCCCAAGGAGCATCCCCATGGAGCACCCTCAAGGAGCATCCCCATGGAGCATCCCCATGGAGCATCCCCAAGCCACCCCCTTCCCCTTCCTCCTCCCCTAAGCCTGAGTGCTGGGTTCCAGGACCCTACACACGCTATGGGGCAGCGTGGCCCTCCCAGACCCACACAACTGCCCCCCCCGCCCCATACCCCACCACCCTTCACCCACCTTTCACAGCCGTCGTGCCCCACAGAGCCAACGGCAGCAGGAGCAGGGCCGCGATCCCCAGCCCTCCGGCCATCGCTCCCGTCTCCAGATGCTCGAAGGGGCGACGCGGGGATGCCAGGGCATCCCTTGAGGCCCCTCGACCAATTAGAAGCCTCCCCGCTGATGACTCATCTGTCTCCAGGCAGAGCAGCGCCGCGGGGTACCCTATGGAGCAGACAGCCCGACGGGCACCACATTGGGGTCTAAACCTCGACCTGACCCCCCCCCAGCACCCCATAGAGGGGGGGTTGGGGTCAGCGACAACGCTGGGGGGGGGGCACCGAGATGGGGGAGCCCCATTGGTGGCCGTGGGGGTGATGGTGGCAGCCGGGGGGTGACGGCTTCAACGGGGACCAAGTGTGGACGGGAGCCCCGTCCGCTCTTGTTCTACCCAGCAACGGGTGATGCCGCCCCAGCCTCGCTGCTCATTGGTTGTTCCTGGGGCTTCCCAGTCCCGGCACTGGGACCCCCAGTGCGTGCGATCGCATTGACTGGGAAGGGGAGCCCGCTGTGCGCGCGATGGGCACTGGGGCTGCGCTGGGAGCGGCTGGGGCCGTGCTGGTGGCACTGGTGGCACTGGGAGCCCCCCCGGCTCATGGCGAGGAGCTGTCGGGTGAGAGCGGAGCCACGGCGCTGGGGGGCGGGGGGGGGGGGGGTCGGGGTCTTTGGGGTGTCCTTGGGGTTGGGGGGGGTTCTTTGGGGGGGTCTTTGTTGGGCTTTGGGGGGGGTCTTTGTTGGGTCTTTGGGGGTAATGGGAGTTTTGGGGGGGTCTTTGGGGGGTTTTGGGGGTGTTTGGGGGGGTCTTTGTTGGGGTTTGGGGGGTTGGGGGGGTCTTTGTTGGGGTTTGGGGGGGTTGGCCTGGTTTTTGTTGGTTCTTTGGAGTTTGGTGGGGTCTTTGTTGGGTCTTTGTTGGGTTTTGGAGTCTTTGGGGGTCTCTTTGTTGGGTCTTTGTTGGGCTTTGTGGTTTGGGGGGTCTTTGTTGAGTCTTTGTTGGGCTTTGGGAGTCTTTTTTGGTCTCTTTGTTGGGTCTTTGTTGGGCTTTGTGGTTTGGGGGGTCTTCGTTGGGTCTTTGGGGGTCTTTGGGGTTTGGGGGGCTCTTTGTTGGGTCTTTGGAGGGAGGTTGTTAGAATCTTTGGGGTTTGGGGGGGTCTCTGTTGTGTCTTTGCGGGGTCTTCATGGGGTCTTTGTTGGGGTTTGGGGTCTTTGTGGGGGGTCTTTGTTGGGTTTTGGGGGGCGTTTGTTGGGGTTTGGGGGGGGTCTTTCTTTGCTGGCTCTTTGTGGGCTCTGTCCCTGCCTTCCCCCCTTCTCCTGGCCCCTCCTGTGCCCCCCCAGGACATGGCGAGGGGGGGGGAACCGCTCCCCCTGAGCCAACACCCGGCACCAACAGGGATCTTCCAGGGGGTGTATAAGTTCGAGTGTCAGTTCCTCAACGGCAGCGAGCGCGTCCGGTTACTGGGGAGGTGGATCTACAACCGGGAGCAGTACATGCACTTTGACAGCGATGTGGGGCACTATGTGGGCGACAACCCCGAGGGCGAGTTCCAAGCCAAGTACCACAACGGCATTGTGGAAGAACTGGAGCAGAGAAGGGCTGAGGTGGACACAGTCTGCCGGCACAACTATGGGATATTGAAACCTTTCACCGTAGATCGGAGAGGTGAGTCCATGGCAGAACGTTCCCCGGAAGAACAGGCCCAACCCAACCCAACCCAACCCCCTGCCGTGCTGGGGCTGCGGTGTGACCGCGGCTGTGACCATGGCGGCGGGCGGTTGTGACCCCGGTGAGCGGAGGTTGTGACCACGGTTGTACTTGGTGGCTTTGCCACCTTTGTACAACATTGGGTTGCCCGTTGTTGGGTTGATGAACGCATTGGGTTGTACAACGTTGGGTTGCCCAGTGTTGGATTGGCCGACACGTTGGGTTGATGAACACTTTGGGCTGTACAACATTGGGTTGCCCAGCATTGGATTGGCCAACACATTGGGTTGCCCAGTGTTGCGTTGACGAGCACATTGGGTTGTAGAACATTGGGTTGCCCAGTGTTGCGTTGATGAGCACATTGGGTTGTACAACATTGGGTTGCCCAGTGTTGGGTTAATGAACGCATTGGGTTGTACAACATTGGGTTGCCCAGTGTTGGATTGGCCAACACATTGGGTTGCCCATTGTTGGGTCGATGAATGCATTGGGTTGTACAACATTGGGTTGCCCAACCTGCTGAGTTGCCCATTGTTGGGTTGCCCAGTGTTGGGTTGATGAACACATTGGGGTGGCCAACACAATGGGTTGCCCCTTTTTGGGTTGCCCATTGTCGGGTTGGTGAAAACATTGGGTTGTACAACACCGGGTTGAGCACCATTGGGTTGGCCAACGCATTGGGTTGCCCATTGTTGGGTTGGTGAACACACTGGGTCGTACAACACCGGGTTGAGCACCACTGGGTTGGCCAACGCATTGGGTTGCCCGTTGTTGGGTCGACGAACGCATTGGGTCGCCACCACCTCGGGTGCCCGGGACACTCTGCCCCTCACCCCACAGTGCCTCCGAAGGTCGAGATCTTCCCGGTGCAGTCGAGCTCGGCGCCGCAGACCAACCGCTTGGCATGCGCCGTGAGCGACTTCTACCCGGCGCCCATCGAGGTGCGGTGGTTCAAGAACGGGCGCGAGGAGCTGCAGCACGTGGTGTCCACCGACGTCATCCAGAACGGCGACTGGACCTACCAGGTGCTGGTGATGCTGGAAACCACCCCGCAGCGCGGCGACACCTACACCTGCCAGGTGGAACACGTCAGCCTCCAGCAGCCCAGCATCATCCATTGGGGTACGGACACCCCAAACCCAGCTGGTACCCCCCAAAATGAAGGTGTCGAGGGGGGGAACCCCAAACTTAACACACCCCCCCCCCCCCCAATTTTGGCTCTCCAGAGGTGATGGATGGCAGCAATAGCAAGATGCTGACGGGGATCGGGGGCTTCGTGTTGGGGCTCATCTTCATCGTGGTGGGGCTCATCTTCTACAAGCGCAAGAAGGTGAATGTGGGGGGGGTCTTATGTGGGTCCTCAAGGTTTGGGGGTGCTTTGGGGTGCCCTTGTGTGACACTGACCCCATCTCTGTGTTGCAGGGCACTTACTTCCCTCCACTGCAGGTAACGTCTAAGTGTGTCGTCATCCCCCCCCCCCAGCATTGGGGTCACCCCAGCCCCACACTCACCCCTCCTTTTCTCTCCCCACAGGCCAGCTCCTGAGCAAGCTCCTGCCCCACTGCACACAGCTCCAAGCAGGCTCTGCCCCCCGTGTTACCCCACAGCAACCCCTGGTGTCCCCAACATCCCCCTCGTTTCCCCCCCCGCAGCCCCACAGTTGTGACCCACAGTAGCTCCAGCTCTAATAAAACTGCCCACTGCTCCAGCCCCGGTTGTTGGGGGGGCTGTGGGGCAGGGGAATGACACAGTGTAGGGCAGTGGCATCACCACAGGCATGGAGCTCTATAGGGCAGGAAGACTCCTCCATGGGGCAAGAAAACCCCTCTACAGGGCAGGAAGATTCATCTCTGGGGCAAGAAGAGCCCTCTATGGAGCAGGAAGACCCCTCTATGGGCAACTCGTCTATAGGGCAGAATCCCACCTCCCAGCCCCACTTTGGGGGCCCCCAAAACATGGGGGGGAGGGGGCTCGGGGGGAGAGGGAAAATCCCATGGGTGGGGGGAGGGGAACGTGGGTCCCATGGTGGGAGGGGAAGGGGGTAAGGAAGAAATAAGGGGGTGGGGGAAAGAGGGGGGAGGTGAAGTTCCCACGGGTGGAGGAGGGGCTCCAATAATATTTTCTTTATTTACACGTGAAAGAATCCGAAGGTTCCAAACAGGCGCGAGGTGGGGGGGAGGGGGTTGGTGGGGGAGGGGGCGAGAGCAAGAGAGGAGGGTGGGGGAGGGGCACGGAAAAAAAAAAAAGAAACCCTCAAAATCAAACAAATTCCCACCCTACCCCCCCCCCCCCCCCCCAAAATTTAGAAAATTATACACAAAGCTTAAAAAAAAAAAAAAAATGTAGCACCCGCCCCTCCCCCACCCGGGTCATGGGGGAAGGGGGGGGAGGGGAGGCGCAAATAAATTAACCCCCCCCAAAAACCCAACCCCAAAACCCCAAAACTCCAGCGCTGGGGGGGGGGGGGAGGGAGGGGCAGAAAATGTTGGGTTTTTTTTTTTTTCCTTCCCATTTTTAAAAAGATTTTTGAATTTTTTTTGAATTTTGCAAATTTTTTTCTTCTTAAAAACGCCCCCAATTTCCTCCCCCCCCCCCGCCCCTCCCAAAGTACCCCGAAATTCACAGAAAAAAATAAAATCCAAAGAAAAACCAAACTAAAAAAAAAAAAACAACCAAACAGTAAAACCTGGGGGGAGTGGGGTGGGGGAGGGGCCACCCCATCATGCCCCTCCCCCCCCAAACACCACCTCCCCCCTTGAAGTCCATGTGGTGGGGGAAGGGCTCCCCCTTAACCCCGCCCCCATCTGGTTGGGTGAGGGGCTGTGTGTGGGGAGGGGCTCCCCTTAACCCCGCCCCCTTTTGGTTGGGGGAGGGGCTGTGGGGTGGGAGGGGCTCAGTCCGGTCCCACAGATCCATTTCTGTCCAATCCCATCGCTGAGGGGGTGGGAAGGAGGGGGGGCGGGGAGAGGAGGAGAAAAGGAAGGGAATGGGAAGGGAGGGGTTGTATCCCGCTGACGTCAACGATGGCGTCATCATCCCCGTCACCCCGAGTCGGAGTCGCTGGTGTCCGAGGAGGAAGAGGAGGAGGAGGAGCTGCTCGAGTCCGAGCTGGAGCTGGAGGCGCTCAGGCGGGACACGGCCACGTGCTGGGCGGACTCGGCCTTGTCGCTGGCTATGGGGGGCCAAAAACAGAGGGGTGAGGCCTCTGTCGCGATATGGCACGACAGACGTTGAGAAAAGCTTCAAAAACCCTGGTAAACGGCCATAAACTGTCGAATAGTCCCCAGTCGTGATAAACTACCACGACAGTCCCCAATAATCGACAATAAACCCCAATAAACTCTTGTGATAATCCTCAATTGCGATAAATTGTGATAAACTGTCACGATAGTCCACAATAAACCCCAATAAACTCGTGATAATCCCCAATCGCGATAAATTGTGATAAACTGTCATGATAGTCCACAATAAACCCCAATAAACTCTTGTGATAATCCCCAATCGCGATAAATTGTGATAAACTGTCATGATAGTCCACAATAAACCCCAATAAACTCGTGATAATCCCCAATCGCGATAAATTGTGATAAACTGTCACGATAGTCCCCGATAAACCCTTGCGACAGTCCCCAATCGCGATACACTGTGATAGTCTCTAATTAACTACTGTGATGAACTGTCACGACAGTCCCCGATAAGCTGCAATAAACCCAGTACCATTGTGACAGTCTCCTGTCAACTATCATGATAAACTGGCACGACAGTCCTGGATAAGCTGTGATATGCCCCAGTACCATTGTGATAGTCTCCTATCAACTATGGTGACGAACTGGCACAACAGACCTCGACAACCTCTGATAAACCCCAATAAACTATCGCGATAGTCTGCAATAAACTATAATACACCCCAGTATACGGCTGTGACAGTCCCTGAACAACTGTCATGACAGATCCCACTGAACAGCAATAAACTGTTGCAACAGTCCTACGTAAACCCCCACAAACTATCGTGGTCATTCCCGACCGCCTGTCGTGACAAACTGTCACGATAACCGCACTAAACTGTGCTAAACTCACAACAGACCCCGATAAACCCCCATAGCGGGCAATAGCCTGCTCTGCGCTATCACGACAGGCTGCGATAACCCGCCCGTGACCTATCACGACAGGCGCTCACCCTTCTTGGGGGGTTTCTTGGCCGAGTTGAGCTGCCCACTGACGTCCTGCAGCCGCTTCTCCAGCTCCCGCTTCTTCTCCAGCGCCAGCTCCTCTTTCGTCTTCCCCACCGGCTTCTTCAACGCTGCGGAGGTGACATGGAGGGGGGGTCAAAGGGACCCCAAAATAGCCCCAAATCACCCCAAAACCAAATGGCCAACCAGCAGCCAAATAATGAACACCCAATGGTCAACCAACACCCCATCTACCACCCCAAAACAACCAATGGCCGACCCCTCAGCCAGCACTCAACCAATGGCCAACCAACCAATCCAACCATCGACCACCCAATGGGAAACCCCCCACCCAACCAGCCTCCCCCCAAAACACCCAACGGCCCAAAGGCCTGCACCCAACCAACCCAACAGCCCAATGGTCTACACCTGATCAACCCAACCCCTCAACAGCCTACACCCAACCAACCCAACATGCAACTCCTCAACCCACTGTCCTACACCCAAACAACACCCAACCCTTCAACCCAATATCCCAACGGCCTGCACCCAACCACTCAACCCAACAGCCTGCACCCAACCAGTCCAACACCCAACCCCTCAACCCAATAGCCTACACCCAAACAACACAACACCCAGCTCCTCAACCCAACGGCCCAATGGCCTGCACCCAACCAACCCACCACCTCAACCCAACCCAACTCAACCCCATGCTCAACCAAAGGCCGCCCTGGGGCCGTGTCTCACTCTCGCTGTAGGGCTTGCGCGGCTTCTTCCGCAGGCAGGACAGGACGTAGCGCTCCAGCTCCCGCAGCGTCGAGGGCTTGAGGGTCTCGAAGTCGATCTCGATCTCCTCCGGGTTGGAATCCCGCAGCGAGGGCTCCCGGGATTGGATGATGTGCACCACGCGGCCCAGCTTCTCCCCGGGCAGCTTGTTGATGTCCAGGCTGAGCTGGCGCTTCTCGTCGTACGTCATGGGCTTGCTCTCCTCCTCCTCCTCCGAGTCGTAGAGCGCCGACGGCGGCGGCGGCAGTGCCGCTTTCGCCGCCTTCTTCGAGTTCCTGATGGGAGAAAACGCTGATTAAAACCCCCTTTTCCTCACCAAAAACGAGGGCTTTCCCACCAGAACCACCCCCCATTTCACATAAACCACAAATTCACCCCAAATCCACCCAATTTTCATGCCCCAAATCCCTTCAATTTCAGACAAAACCCCAAATCAATTTTCCTGCCCCAAAACCACGCTTTCCCTCCAAAATACTTCAATTTTCACCAGAACAATTCAGAAAGTCCAAATTTTTCAAAACAGACACCAAAAGCTCCAAACTAAGCCCCCAAAATCTTTTTTCCTACCTCAACCCCCCAATTCCCCCCCAATCTCGATAAACTGTGATAAACTATCACGACAGTCCCCAATAAACTCTTGTGATAGTCCCCAGTCACGATGAACTGACAAGCTGTCACGATAGTCCCCAGTAAACCCCAATAGACGCTTGTGATATTCCCCAATCACAATAAACGGTGACAAGCTGTCACGGTAGTCCCCAGCAAACCCCAATACACTCTTGTGACCCCAATCGCAATAAACTGTGATAAACTATCATGATAATTCCCAATAAACCCCACTAAACCCAATAAACTCTTGTGATAGTCCCCAACCACGATAAACTCTGACAAGCTGTCACAATACTCCCCGATAAACCCCGATAAACTCTTGCGACAGTCCCCAATAGTGATAAACTGTGATAAGCTATCGTGATAGTCCCCAGTCACGATAAACTGTGACAAGCTGTCCCCGCTCCACGTCCTCACCGGGTGCCGCCGGCGGCGGCTCTCCGTGCCCGGCGGAGCTGCGCCTGCCTCAGCCGCGCTTCCTCGTCTCCCCCCTTTTTTGTGTTTCTCCGTTTTCTTCTTCTTCTTCTTCTCCCTCTTCCTTTTGGGTTTGGAGACGGGGCCCTGCGAGAGGGCAGCCAACTGCTCGTGTCGGCACGCTAAGCAGGGGGGATGGACACGGGGAGGGGGGGGTGAGGTGGGCACCGGGCAACGGCTCCGGTCCGGCTCCGGCACCGGTTCCGGCTCCTCACCTGCTCCTGCAGCTCAGCCAAGGCGGGTTGGCCCGTTCCTCCTCTGAGTCGGAGCTCTCCTCGCTCTCCGAGGAGCTCTCGCTGCTGCTTTCGTCGTCTTCGTCGTCCTCGTCGTCGTCTTCGTCGTCGTCCTCGTCGCTGGGGATTCTTCCGAGGTGGATTTGGAAGGGCGCCGGGAAGCGGAGCCGATACCGAGGGCGGGCTGGCGGCCTGCGGCTCGTCCGGCATCTTGGCGTAGCTGAACTCAAACACGTCCTGCGGGAGAGGCAGGGATGGGGGTCAGTGGGGGGCACCAAAGGGCAATGGG